ACCCACACAGCAGCTAACAACCGTGTATAACTTCACTTCAGAGGATCCGCCGCCCTCCCTTGGCCTTCTCAGGCACAAACACCCAAACAAAGCACCCACACACGTCAAAATGGAAACATTAATGTCTGAAGAAAGAGCGACGGCTGCTGCGGTGGCCCACGCCTGTTATCCCAGCACTAGGGGAGGCAGAAGCAGGTGGACCTCTGTGAGGTCTACAAAGCGAGTCTAGGACAGCCAAGGTCACACAGAGAAACCCTGTCTAAAAAGAAAAAAAAAAAAATCTGAAGAAACAAAGGGGCCAAAGGCAAACTGCTTACACGTAGCAAGGACCGTTGTTTGCCATTTTGTACCCGTCTCGGGTCCCACCTTGGTGGCTCTTGTATTGTAGGTGGCCTAGAATACAGGGCAGGCAGGATGGAGGGGAGCAGAGGCCTCGAGGAACCTCTGAACCTCTCCTGAGCAGTGGGTGAGTCCCTGTCTCTTGCTGTGCATGCTCTGTCCCACAAGAACAAACAAAATTCGACTTTGTGTGTGCGCATGTGCTTGCAGCCAGGTCTTAGGAGAGTTCCTGATGTCTCCTGCCTCAGCCCCACAACTTTTCTTCTCTTTGAGGCAGACGTGATTTATCCTTACCGTTTGGGCAAGGCCCTAAAAAAAAAAAAAAAAGAAAGAAAGAAAAGAAAAGAAAGAAAGAAAGAAAGAAAGGCAAAGACAACCCATAATTCCAGAGTTCAAATTTGGGGTCAGTTTCTCCCCAAGTTAACATTAACCTTTGGGTAAACGAGCCACTCCTGGAGGAGGGATTGGTAAAGAGGAGCATTGTGGAAAGCCTGGGGGGGTGTGTGTTGGGGGGGGAACTGTTCGTTTACCTTTGAGGGAGCAGCCCAAGGCCAAGGCGTGTTGTTCCCCAGTTCTCCCAAACGTTGCCAAGTGTGTGCCCGTTCACTGGGAACATTGACTCCCACGGTGGAGAGTTTCTCCTCAGTTGTCCTGAGGGCAGCCATGTTTTCCAAGAGTGAAGAAACAAGCGCAACCGTTGACCAGTGCAACAGTTTCTGCCCTCCTTCCCAGGGGTAGTGGTGAGCATTTCTCAGGACATGCTTTTTTTTTTTTTTTTTTTGAGACAGGGTTTCTCTGTGTAGCCCTGGCTGTCCTAGACACGCTTTGTAGACCAGGCTGGCCTCAAACTCACAGAGAGCAGCCTCTGCTTCCCTGAGTGCTGGGATTACAGATGTGTGCCACCGACCCTGGAAAGACATGTATTTGAGAACACCTTGGCCAAAGCACAGCAGTATGTCACATGAAGGCTTATTCATAGGTAACCTTTGCGGTTAGAACTGACCCGTCACCGTCACCACGAGGTTAGGTTCAGGCAAGGGGCGGAGAGCAGTGTAAGGGTGCCACAGTGTCAGAGACACGGCTGTAGGGTATAAGTGTTGTCTAGAATCAAATTTAGGCGAGGAATGGAGATGATTCCTAAGAGATGCTGGTGCTAGTTAGCTCAAACAGTTAAAATTCCCCTGGGATGTAACATGGTGAACACACATGTGAGCACACTCTCATGACACACACCCACGCACTCACACACAAATACACACACATACACGGAAAGCTACATGATCATCTGAGCCATTTAATCCCTGAATATTGCCTTTTTATCTGTTTTGAAGACAGGGTCTCATGTAGTCCAGGCTAGCCTCTAACTCTAGATTCGCTGAAGATGACTGACTTTCTGACCCTCCTTCATTCACCTCCTACATGCTAGGAATTACAGGTGCGTGCCACCATGCCTGGCCCTGGCCCTCATCGTAGGAAAAGACTCACACTCAAACAGAGGTAGGGTACACACCTGTAACTCTGGCACTTGGGGAGGGAGGGGATGAGAAAGGAGAATTGGCATGATTTGGAGGCCAGCCTGGGTTACATAGTGAGGCACTGTCTCAAACAGACAGACAAACAGGAGACAAAAAGACAAATTCCCAAAGAAGTAAAAGACAACTATACAAAAAGTTTGTTTCTTTTCCTTTTTTTTATTTTTTGTTTTTGTTGTTGTTGTTTTTAAGACAAAGGGGTGTGTGTGTGTGTGTGTGTGTGTGTGTGTGTGTGTGTGTGTGTAGTCCTGGCTGTCCTGGACTCTCTTGGTCGACCAGGCTGGCCTTGAACCCACAGAGATCCGCCTGTCTCTGCCTCCCTTGTAGCCAGACCCTAGCCACAATCCCCAGCTCGAAAACGTGTTTTAGGATGTTTAGATAATGTTGGAAGCGACTTACATGGCCAACAATGAGGCAAGGGTTGGTTTAACTTAGGCACATTCCTTCTATGGAGTGTTTCATAGCTTTTAAAGACCTGGACCGTGCTGGCCGTTCAGACGGCTCAGCAGGTAGGTGACTGGCTGACTTCCCACCTGAGCTCAATCCCAGAGCCCACATAACAGGAGGGGACTGACTTCCATAGGCTGTCCTCAAACACACACACACACACACACACACACACACACACACACACACACACAC